CAGAATTTATTATTTGAATAAATTATTTTGTGTTCTACTGTGTAACTCAACATTTCCGCATCATTAATTTGTCTTATATGCTGTTTTATTATTTGAACACACATGGACCATACAGCGCATAGAGACCATGCAATATGCGCTTTACTAAAAGTCCCCAGCCATTACCACTAAGGCCGTTTTCCACTAGGCGAATTTATTCTCGGGAATCGAACATTTGTACCCGTACGCATGCGCATTTGAGAATCCCGTGATGAAAAAAAACTGGGCATGCGTATATACGAAAATTTTCGTTCCGCGCGAATAAATTCGTCAGGTGAAAAACGGCCTTTAAGTTCTCCTCGTCGCGTGGATTTTAGGACGAAATTTGGCCAAATCTACGGTCGAACGCAGAGAGAACGTAGGACGCCCGGTGCAAAATCACGCATGAGTAATTCCGTTCTAGCGTCGCGTCGTCGCACAAATCAAAAGTTCGGCCTTAATGTTAAAGCATACGCAACCACGTGCGTATGCGGGAGAGCACATGTGCTTGCTAGACGCGCACGCATTTCTGGCCCTGTTCTGATTGGGTCAGTTGTAAGAGTGTTTGACATTCCTGAAAGGTCTTTATAAAGAATCTTATTACAAACCTCTGCCTTTGAGATCAGGGTTACCAGTTCCTCTGATGTTCAGAACAAATGCCACTCTGCCTTTTTTTGAGATACCCAGCCAGCTTCCACCTTCTTTTCCAGGTTTCATGTCAACACCTCAAATAAATCAATAACAACAAAATTAGCATGACTGCATTGGTCAAGTGGGTTTTCATCCATGTTTACATTATGCCATAAAATGAAAGTTATAGATTGCACCTACAATTACTCGCCTGCCCTGAAATTATAATTATTATTAACGAAATATTCATTACTTGCACAAAAATTGCATTTCATCACAAATGCGAGATCCAAATTATAACAGAAATATCACACGATACACGATATCTATGACAAGATTAAAAACGACTTCAGAAGTCAATAAAAACATTGTGAATGCTTTTGTTTGATAATGTATTGATATATTTAAAACAAAGGCCATATGTACTAAAATATCAGGATGTAAATCTAAGACTAAAACATTCACTCTTTTTCCAAATTAAACTCTGGCAAAGTACACAAAACATCAAATATATTTGCAAAAACATCTTCATAAAAATAATATCTAAATATTAACAAACCATTATCATGCACTTGCAATGTGTATGTTTTAATAAATGGGTCTTAGTGAAGGGTATGAACAGAGGGAGGAAGGGGTATGCCTGAAGGCTGGCAATCCCTTATGATTTTCTTTTCTTCTATACACTGTTATAGTATTTTGTATTTGACTTTCAGGAAGTTTGTTGTTAGGGAAGAGCACTTAGGGGGACCTTTCCGACATTGTGTAGGCCTAAGTTTCTGATATTTTGTTATGTAAATTCTTTTTGTGACAAAATTTGGTTCATTAGACGGGATGAAATAAACCAGTGAAGGGGTCTGGCGTTCAGACATAATTTTGAAAAATAATTTTGAGTGTTTTAAAACAAATTAGGGTCTCAGATCATTTCGGTCGCCGCTCATTTCTGCCACCGGGTTTGTTATGCTAATAAATGTATGGTGTGCCAATAGGGTCATAACAGCTTACATCTTTACTCACACTGACACCGCAGCTAAGTTCTATTGTCTTCTGGCCTCTTGATTATTCATAAACGTTGTGTTAGGTACCGGCCCACTTGCTGCTAATAGTAATCAATTATTACCTATTAAAAATACCGTATTTAAAAGGGTTTTTTAAAACTTATATAACATTGTTTTCACATGGAAAAGAGGAATGCCGTAACTAAAATTGTGTTCAATGTATTCATGATAATGGTAAAAATCTAATATTATTGCATTAGTTATATAGGCCTAACATTCGGACTCTAATATAAAACTACATCTTACAACTAATATTTTATTTCACCGAATAGGCTTAATAATCTAACTCGAATATTTTTATTGTCTTATCTACTGTAGAGGTGTTAAAACAAGTGACTGCATGCTAGAATGATTTAAATGTTTTAATTGTTTTGACCACTAATACCTATAATAGTTCTGTATGTTATTGACAATTGAGGTAGATACAAATTAAATGTTGAAAATAAGTGAGAAAATTGTATTTAAATGGATGCGTCTTATAAATTTTGTTGTTTTCTTTATCCTCATTTGAGGTGTAAGGAACCTGTAAACTTGCCGAGGACATGTGATGTAACTGGTTATATCACAAAAGTGTGGAAACAGAACACAGAAAGGAAATTACCGATAGGATTTTACATTGGTGTAAGGATAATTTTAGTAATCAATGTTCCGACTCGTTATTGCTTTAGTTGTATAGCTTGGATTCTATGAAGAATCAAGACACACTATCTAAACAAAGTCTACAAGTAAATCTTTTGTAGGAAAAAACTACATATTTTAGTAGGTGTGCACAATGATTAGCAATGGCAACCGTTTTCTTCATAATGAAATACAAATAGCTTTACACTACCTTTGTGAATGTTTTTAATGATAGGCTGTGTGTTTGTTCATTCAATTCCCTGATTATGTTACACAGATTTCACGATTTTTATGTAATGAGCAAGAGCAATAAAACTGGATCTGAAAACAATCAACATCAAATATCAATACCGTCCTTAACGAAGACGATTGGGATTGATTGCCAATGGTATAGCCTAAATATATTTTTCTATGCAGACGATTTGTTGTTGACAAGCATCCACTGGTCTTAAAAACGTATTGAAGTGATTTTTGAAATATGTCTACTCATTTTCATAGTTTAGCATCCATAGACACCAATATTTCTGACCTGTGCAGCAGAGTCAATTTGGGTTTCACCAAAAACTAAATTACTATACTCAGTGGAAGATTTTTTCAATAAGTATATATTCAGTTTTATCATCATTCAATTCTAGACAAATTTGCTTTCTCCAAACACGCAATTCAGAAATGCAATTTCAAGTAATTATATAACGTTGTGTCATGGACGGCTTAAACGAAAGTTAAATTTGTGTATCTTCAGCATAAACATGATAGGACAAATTATTTATATTTGATAATTATATCCCGAATTGGTTGGATATAAATTGTTAACCATTGTGGCCCGAGAACAGATCCTTGTGGAACAGAAAAATTGTAGGAACTTCCTTGGGAGAAAGCATCCCCTATACCATAGAGAAAATAGAACTATTTTCTCTATGCCTATACAAACATGTCATCGTATGTTAGTTAGATAAGATCGACACCATTCGAGTGCACGACCTTCGACTCCAATGTGCTTACTTAATCTACTAAGCAAAATATTATGGTCATGCAGGCTTACTAATAAGTGTTAATAAATCGATTATAAATAAGACTATTTCATCAATAAAATTGACACGACATATTGTTTCATTTTTTTGATAATGTATTTAATCTGCTACATGTTACCTCGGCCGAAATGATCGTAGACCTTATAACTAGTACTACACTATATTCCCAACTTATACCTTGCTCATGGATGTCACTAAGCCTATTCCTAAATTAAAACATATTTGGTTACGGTACCGTTGCTTACAAATGTGGGGGCAGTGGTGGATTTAGGATTATGTGAGGGAGCTGTCGTAGTTTAGTTAAAAATGATATTGCATGTTAAGACTGACTTACCACACAGCGTATCCTTGTTTGATTCCAAAAAATTGGCGTGGCTTGTTGGTCTGTTAAAGTATTCTTCACGATTAAAAGCTAGTACAAGTTTGTAACCGCTAATTTCTGGATTTCCATTGACCATAAACCAGGTAACACACATTATTCAGTTTAGAAACGTGTTTTTTTTTTTTTGTTTTTTTAAATCTTGCCTGTAACTTCTGGGCCGGTAACTCCTCCGGATGGCGTACTTAATTTATTATATATTATTATCGTTATGACGAGACTTAAAAGTGGTCGACAGCTTTAAAAAGCTTTTATCTGTACCTGTGGGTATGCTGTCCAAATTTCCAGGTGGAACTAATTGAGAGGGCGTGCTCATGTAGTTCTTATTGAAACTGCTTTAAATGTTTTGTTGCTTGACCTTTAATTGTTAATTGTTAATTGGTCACTTATTGTATAGGCCCACTAATGATGAATAGAAGGTACTATTTTGGAAAAAATCGATACACGACATATATTAAATATTAAGAACGACTTCAGAAGTCAATAATTAAGACATTGTGAACATTAAGTCGGATAAATTAGAAAATGACATTCATGAAAAAAAAATGACTATAACGCTTTAATATCGTTACTAAATGCAAGTAAAACATCTAAATTTAGTTTGTTCGTCAATTTTCGTCACATAATGTCTACTGATTTGTAATTGACAACAAACTTAATCATCACAAGTGTTTTTATTTCTGCATTTCAATACCAACGGCTATTAAAACAGCAAAACTAATTCCTCCATGATCTTAATGAATATAAACAATGAAAAAAAGTTATTGTGATGAAATAAATACTGTAATACATGATAAAACATTTCTAGATTTTCTGGCTATAATATTTTTCATGTTTTACTATCTTGAAAAATACCATAAAACATAATTAACAGTGGGTTAAAATACATGATAAAACAGTATTTACCCCTTTAGTCTTATATCATCATTTCCGTCCTAAATTCACATGAATTAAAGAAACATACTGTAATTTTCAAATTTTTAAGAATGGTTATCATTCTTATAAAGTATATACGTGCGGTCTCAGATCATTTCGGCCGCCAGATTTTTAACAATAGAAAGTATGGCGCGCCAATAGAGTTCTATTGGTAGTGTGGTTGTTGCAGGATGCGGAAGTGTAGGCAAATAATAATCTGACCATTTTTTTAAAATTTAACTTAGGCATAGGCCTACATATCTGTATGTAATGCATGCTTATGCCCACGTGTTTTTCATTAGGTATATATTTATTTTTGTGTTAATAAAATATAATAACGCCTAATCATACCGTAATTATTCACATTTTCTACTAGGCCTACTGTATTTTTTTGTAGAAAAAAGGCCTAGTTGTAGTTAATTTTAACTGATGATAGTCGTACAGTAATGAGTTGTGTGTCACTATAATGTAATTTTGTACTTTTTATCTTTGGAATGTTATAAACGGATGTTCGTTGTTATGAATTATTGTAACAATTACCGGTATATGAGTGCAGAAACTGATTTACCATAATGATTTTAATTTGTTCTTTACAGGTAGACGATGAGGGAAAATATATTCTGCCTAAAACTAGTTTGATTGATGGTTAATTATATGTTTTGCATTGTTAAGGCATGGTAAACCAAGCCAAAGCCAAGTAAGATAGATCTGATAATATAATAATATGATAGAAGGCCTAATAATAATTAAATTAAGTAAAATAAATACATAGGCCTAACCTAGTTTCTAAATGATTCGTTTATACCTGCTGGAGCTAGAGTGCCTAATTTGTAGATAAGTCTCTCTTCATGTTTCTTCCGAACTGTATC